TCGGCTCTTGGGGCTGTAGGGTTTAGGGTTGCTAACAACTCGTTTGGGTTTCGGGGTTTAGGGTGTTGTCAGGGCTGTAGGTTTTCCGGGTTTCAGGGTTCAGCTTCAGCGTTGTCGGGTTGTACGGCGGTTTAGGCAGTTTACGGTTCCAGGGTGTTTGGCCTTCGGGTCGAAGAATTTAGGGCTTGGGGTCCAGGATTTGCGCTTTATGGTTCTCGACCACATCCATCGCGGAAACAAGCCCTACCGCCGTGTTTAGTGTTTAGGGTTTGATGCTTGGGCATTAAATCCGGAGCTCCTAAACCCTGAGCCCTGGATGTTGTGTGTTTCTGGTCTCAGGTCAAAGTTGGGGGGGGCGTAAGAAGGCCGGTTAGGGCTTCGGGTTTAGGGTGTAGGGTTTAGCGGGGTTTGTCTTCTGGCGTGTTAGGATTTGTTTAGGGTGCCTAGGGCTTATCGGTCGGGCATTAGGGTTTGTAGGGTTTTGAACTGTTTAGATGGTTTTGGGTTCGGCTGAATTAAGAGCTGTGATCTTGACTTGAGTTCGGGTTTCGGGTTTCGGGTTTAGGGTTTAGGGTTTAGGGTTTAGGGTTTAGGGTTTAGGGTTTAGGGTTTAGGGCGTAGTGTTTAGGGCGTAGGGTTTAGGGGTTTAGGGCTTCGGGCTTGCCACATTCTTCACGCCCCAGGATGGCCATGGCGAAGCATGGCAGGAAGGCCTGATACCCCTAGGATGCCCAGTAGTACCCTTATTCCCTTTTTGGGGGGTTTAGGTTCCTTTATCAACCCCTTTAAGCCAAAAAGGGCACCCTTTTTAAGCCTAGGTTACTGGGCAGCCAAGTACCACCTATATACAAAGATCTTGGTAGTGCCCCTAGAAACCTTCGTATAGAAGCCTTTTAAGGCACCCTCAGTTCACTTGTGCGTCGGGATGGTGCAATTGCTCTCAGAGGTTCTTTGAGGATTTAGGGTTTTCAGATTTTAGGGTTTGGGGTTCAGGGTTTAGGGGTTTAGGGTTTAGGGTTTAAGGTTTAGGGAGTTCAGGGTAAGGGGTCTCTAGCTTTCAGGATTTTGCCCTGTGGCCCACGGTTCCCTTCGAAACCTCAGGAAAACACTAACCGCTCAACCTTAAACCCTAAATCCCTTAACCTCGGTTTTTTCAAGCCCCAATCCCTAAACCCTAAACGTCAAAACGCTAAAGCCCCAAACCTCAGACCTCGAATCCCCTGCCCCCTAAACCCTACACCTCAAGCTCAAAACGCTGACCCCTAAACCGCAAACCTGAATAAACCCTAAACCCTAAACCCTAAACTCTAAACCCTAAACCCTAAACCCTAAACCTGCAACCCGGGGATGGGACCTGTCGGGTTGTGGGTGGAGGGCTTAGGGCCCTTTTAAAGCCCGAAGCCCTAATTTCCGAAGCTCCAGTGCTGAGTACCCTGCTGCTGCCCCTAAACTTGGTGGGACTTAGGGCATAGGCCTGGCAACTTGCAACCCTAAACACTAAACACTAAACCCCAAAACCCTCAACCTTAAATCTCAGAGAATGGGAAGTCCCACACGTCATACTGCGAGGGCTGGGACTCGGGGGGTCCGGGTTTGGACGTAGTCTAGACTTGGTCATTGTTTGGGAGCCTTGTTGCGTTTGCGTGGTTTGCGTTTATGGTTTAGCGTGTAGGGTTTCGGGTTAGGGTTTAGGGTTTGGGGTTCTTGTTTTGTTCTTCCTTGCAGGGACCTAGAGTTTTGAAGTCAGGGGCCCTGAAAGCCCCCCCCAGGTGGAGAAGGTGCTTTAGGGGTGTAGGGGTGTCGGGGTTTAGGGTTTAGGTGTTTAGCGGCTTAGGGGTTAAGGGTTTAAGAGCTGAAGGGTTGAGGGGTCGCGGGGCTTCGGGTTTGGGAACTGAAGCGCGAGCCAAAATACAGCACAGCGCGCAGGTGAGGAGGAGGAGGAGATGGAGGTGTGGCCGCTGGCTTCAGCTCCTGTAGAGGGATTGTGAGGTTTGGGGGGTTAATCTAAGCTTAGTAGCTGAAGGGGGTGGGGGGGCGGGGCGGCCGGAGGGGCGGGGGAGGGGGGGGAAGGGGCTTGGGGCGTCTGGGGGGCCCAATTTACCAAGTCTTCCCCCCCAATCCCCCCAAACCCTAAACCCTAAACCCTGATCGCAGGGTGCCTTTTCCTAGCGGTTCTTCGTAGGAAGTTCGGGAACGAGGCGCTCCAGAGGCAACCAAGAGCATACCAGCGTAACCTGAAGGACCTGGGTTTAGGGTTTAGGGTTTAGGGCGTAGAATATTGGAGGGAGAGGGTTCCATAGCAAATGCCCAAAACTTTAGCCTCGACCCTCGACCTCAGAACCTTAAACTACCCTCTAAACCCTAACGAAACCTAACCCTATAAACCCTAAGCTCCAAACCCTACGAACCATAAACCCTACAAGCCATAATCCCCCTAAACCCTAAACCCTCAGCCCGAAGCCCTACAAACCCTGAGCCGTAAACCCTAAACCCTAAACCCAACCTGCCCAAGGCCCCAGAATGAAACCCCACAGCTTCCCTGGGTTTCCAGGAACCTGTCGTGATCATCGACAACGGCTCCGGCCTGTGCAAGGCACAGGGGATGTAGGGTTTAGGGTTCAGGGCTCAGGGTTTAGGGATTTAGGGTTTAGGGTTTTGGGTTTAGGGTTTAGGGTTTTGGGTTTAGGGCACCTTTTGAAGTGGGGTTTGGGGTTCAGGGATTAGGGTGTAGGGCTTAGGGTTTCGGCCCTACATTGCCTACACCACCCTACACCAATCCTAAGCCCTAAACCCTCATCCCCCAAACCCCAGCTGTTACCCTAAACCCTAAACCCTAAACCCTAAACCCTAAACCCCCCGAGCTGCCGAGGTAGGGCTCTCCACCGACCAGATCCCCCAGTTCATCTTCAATGAAGTTCTGGGCCGGCCCAGGCCCATTTGGAAGGCCCGGAGGATTTAGGGGGTTTAGGGTTTAGCGTTTAGGGTTTTAGGGTTTGAGGGTTTTGGGGTTTTGGGGTTTTAGGGTTTAGGGTTTAGGGTTTTGGGCTACACCCTAAACCCTAAACCCTGCTAAAAATCTTCTTGGGGTTCTGGAAGTGAGTATGAAAACTTCGGAAGGCTTCCGAAGTAGCTGAATGAGTTCACTTGACATCTTTTGGGATAATGTAGTCACCCATAGAACTGGCAATCCGTAAACCCCACTTCCGCAAGCCCGAAGGGACTTCTTGCCCCCCGCCCCCCCCCCCCCCCCGCCAAAAATTAGAAACAGAGGGAGCAACTGAATACAAGCGGCCGAAGAATGACAGGGACCCCATCCACAAAAAAAAGGGATCTGTAGAGAGAATAGGGTTTCGGGTTTCGGGTTTAGGGTTTAGGTGTACCATGTGGTTTGAGATGTTTGGGTGGGTGTGGGGAGGAGGAAGGCGCAGCAAAACAGGGCTAGATGACTGGAGTAATCCATGTTCCCCTAAACCCTAAACCCTAAACCCTAAAACCTAAACCCTAAACGTGCTTTGCAGGAGAAGATGCAGCAGCAAGGTAGCCCTATGAGAGATTTCTATGTGGCTGACCAGATCTCTGGCTGCCTTTAGTTGCTGTTTTGCTGGTCACGGTCCAGTTACCGTTGAGGGTTGGGATTTAGGGCTCATGTAAGGGAAGTTTCGGTTTAGGCTTTGAAGTTTAGGGTTGAGGATTCAGGGCCCTCAGTATGGTCCCGTACCTTCTCTAAAAGGTTCTGAGGTATGGGCCCTTGAGTTTTTAGAGCAGAGAAGGAGGGGTCTATCAGGGTTCCCCAACGAAGGGCCACGATAAGGACATGTAGCTACCCCAAGAGCTTACGTTTGAAGATAGCCAGCCGGAGGGTTTAAAGATAGGGTTTAGGGTTTAGGCTTTAGGCTTTAGGCTTTAGGCTTTAGGGCTTTAGGGCTTTAGGGCTTTAGGGCTTTAGGGCGTTAGGGCTTTAGGGCTTTAGGGCTTTAGGGCTTTAGAGCTTTCTTACTTCGAAAATTGTAGGAGCAGCTTGGGGCTGGTACTAGGGTTGACGTTGAGCTACAAGGTGGCGGGCGCCTCTTCAGAGCCTACAACGGTCTAGGGTTTAGGGTTTAGGGTTTAGGGTTTAGGGTTTAGGGTTTAGGGTTTAGGGTTTAGGGTTTAGGGTTTAGGGTTTAGGGTTTAGGGTTTAGGGTTTAGAGTTTCATCCCCAGCTTCTAGACCCGAGTTGCCCGGCAGGATGCCCTGATGAGACCCCATTTGGAGTGCCCACCCGCATCGGGGTTTAGGGTTTAGGCGGTTTAGGGTTTAGGGTTTAGGGTTTAGGGTTTAGGGTTTAGGGTTTAGGGTTTAGGGTTTAGGGTTTAGGGTTTGGGGCTAAGATTTAGGGTGCCGGGGGGGGGGGGGGGGGGAGGAGGTGCACCCCTTGCAAGCCCTAAACCCGCGCGTTTTCTCGGAACCGAGGATAGATACCAGCAACAGAGACAAGGCCTGGAGAGCAGAATAGGGTTTAGGGTTTACGGTTTAGGGTTTAGGGTTTAGGGTTTAGGGTTTAGGGTTTTAACGCAAAGTCTGCCATCGAAGCTGGACAAGTACTTGGGAGATATCTGGGTCTTTTAGGGTCCGGGCGACCATTGAACGCATGGAGTGTTCTTGCTTTTGTTTTTTAGGGTTTAGGGTTTAGGGTTTAGGGTTTAGGGTTTAGGGTTTAGGGTTTAGGGTTTAGGGTTTAGGGTTTAGGGTTTAGTTTAGGGTTGGTTGCGGGGGAGGTGGGGAGGTGGGGAGGTGGGAGAGAGGAAGGGGGTAAGTAGTGATCAACTTCCATGTGCAGTCCAAGGCGGAAAGTATGTAAGGGTAGGCATGGATGGAGTCGAACCGTTCGGCAGACAGTATGCAGAATCACTAGCATCGGCGCGGACAAGGTGTCTCTGATTCAAGATGCTCCAACATCCCGATCACTGAAAATCTGCAAAGCGCAGAAGTGCGTTTGGCCCAAGTTGAGTAGGCGCAGCATGGCGAGCACTGCTCAAACCTCTTGGACCAACCAGACAGTTGACCTCCTGCGGAACAACCCGCACGTCGATTGCCAACCCGTCTTGAAGGAGTTGGTTCCCGACTCCATCAAAAACGGCATCCGCTTTGTCTCGCAGCAAAGCAAAGCGACGGAAGGCGTACGAGCAGTGCGCTTGGATGCTTGGTACTACATCAGGCGCCTCAATGCTTCGGAGGTTCTGAAGGCCCTGCGAGCGACAGGATTCGGTTCAGAGGAGTTGAAGAAGAAAGTAGAGCAGACCATGCAGGTTCAGAAGGTCTACCATGTCGTGATTCGCGGCAACGACCCGAAGTTCATGCCTTTGGGCAAGTGTGATGGACAGGATGTCGTAACGAACTACTGTTGCGAGCAGCTGTCGGCCATTTCAGAGCAAGTGGACCGCCTCCTTTTCGAAGAGATCGCAGAGCCCCCAAGCATCCAAGAGGCAATGGCCAACCCTGTCTTCGACCAGATGTTGGAGCACTACTTCCTCTGCGGAAAGCATGACAAGGACTGGGCCCATTGCTAGCCCTTGTTGTGGGTCTTGGCAACCTAGGGATCTTTGGTTTCTTTTTGGCTTTCTTGGGTTTCCCACAGCTTTCTTTCCTGAGATCCTACTGTGTTTTTCTTCTGTGTCAAGCCTGGACAAGGAGGAAGAAACTCTCCATGTTGTGAGCCGCTTCCGGGGTGGAGGGAACTTGCTGCACACCTGCATCAAGGAGGGTCACCTGCCCACATTGAGGCTGCTTCTGGACCACTTCACCGTGGAATCTCAACCTCGGACTCGATGGAGAGCCTTGGCCGAACCTCTGCGCCCAGTTGGGAAGTACAAGTGTTCGGCCTTTCATCGGGCCGTATACGATGGCCGCCCAGACTGTCTCAAAGAGTTGGTCGACTGGGCGCGGCATCATGGGCATGACATAACACAGCTCCGCAACGTCGAGGAGAGTGACATTTTGGGAGCCCAGCGTGGCTTAACCTGCCTGGAGCTATCCGAGCAAGAGGGCAATCTGGCTTGCTACAACATTCTTGCGCCACTGTTCAACGTGCCGGCTAAGGACAGCGGTGCTGATGCAAACCCACGCGAAGCCCGCATGGCGGAGAGGTTGTTGCCCAGAGTGGAGCTGGCCGCAGATGAGCAGACTCTGCAGGCTCACCCCATGAACCCGGAGAGCCTGAACTGGGAGGCTGTGTTGGTTGCCATCTCAGGTCTAAAGGTGAAGGAAAGCAGCGCCCGGGATCCCCATCAGATGGTGATCAGGTTGCAGAACCTTTCTTTGGATGATGATGCCAGTGAGCAGCTGGCGGACCAGATTCTGGGAGAGGCGAAGGGCATGGCGGCCCTGGAAGCCAATTTGTGCACCTGGAAGACAGACAAGACTGCCCTCAGCTTTCTGGCAGCCGTGGTGAAGCGCCTTGACGGCGAGTCTTCCGAGCATCTCCCACCGCGCATGCCGCGGAAGGTGGACATTTCCTCCCCAACGGCAGAGGATTTGCCGGTTGAGGAAGAGTCTTCGGTGGACGAGCAGGCCTGCACGTTGCTGCATCAATTCGTAGGGTCCTGCGGCAAGTGGCCGGAGTTTCTGGGAGCTCGCAACGGCCTCATCAGCCGTAAGCAGGGCTTGCGAGTGGCACAACGGGATGCCCAAAGTCATGCAGCCACCGTGGCTGCCATCTATGCTACGCGTGTGAATGCATTCCTGGGCTACATCCCTGGTGATCTGGAGGATATCCCTAACCCTGAACCCTGGAACCCTAGACCCTAAACCCTAGCCCTGAACCCTGAACCCTCAGCCCTAAGCCCTAAACCCTAAACCCTAAGCCCTAAGCCCTAAACCCTAAACCCTAAACCCTATCCGGAGGATGAGGGCCTTGGCGAGTGGCTTCGGAAGAGGCAGCTTATGCCTGTTGCACGAGCCGTGTTCGAGCGATTCTTCAACCTCGACAAGCTGTGCCTCGGTCATTCCTCGCTTATGGATTTAGGGTTTAGGGTTTAGGGTTTAGGGTTTAGGGTTTAGGGTTTAGGGTTTAGGGCTACGGTTTAGGGTACCCCTTGATAAGTGTAGGAGGTAGTAGAAACCATAAGCCTCATAAAGCTGAGTCCCAGGTTACTGCTGGAGCCGCAGGACGCAGGCCAGGCCCTTGAGCCTGCCGTAGTGCCCTTCTTGAAGATGACCTTGGCGGCCTGGTTTGCCACGGCTCCTCCTTCCATCCACTAGCACCCGTTCTCCCAAGTTGGTTTACAACCCAAAACCCAAAACAGTAAAGCTCAACGGATTCGGCCCGGATAGAAGAGCAGCATCGACTTAGGTTCCGGCCACAGCTTCTGCAGACACATGGCTTCTTTGGGCTGAGACACGGGGCTCGGAGGAAGACGTGCTGAAAAAGCAGCTGGCTCCGGCACTGGATCTTGCGCCTGCTTCGTATATGGCCTTTCTGTCGGGGTCCAGGGTTTTGGATTTTGGGTTTTGGGTTCTTGTCCATTTGGTGCTTCAAGTGCTGGGATCCGCAAATACCCCATGAACCATGAATGGCATTTAAGGCGCTTGAAGCCCTCCTGCGCATGTGGAAGGCCCTGGACCCTGTGTGCAAGCAGCCCTCATCGACTCTCTTGGGTGTCACTTCCTTGGGGCAGCTGGTGCGAAGTTGCGTTCCGCCACACCTCCTCAGCCGCTTGCCTTTGACCCAGGCCCGCTTGGAAAAGCACTGGCCGAACCTGATCCAGGCTCCCAAGAAGAAGCTGAGCCTCCTCACACAGACGTCAGCTTTAAAGCCATGCTTGCCGTCTGGGGGCTACTCGGGCCACTAGGGCTTGTAGGGAAGTGTACATAGAGGTTTGGGGTTTTTGTTGCTAACACCAGGGGTGTCAGCTTAGCGTTTGGGTGGATACAGGAGTCATTATCTTCGGCTTCCTCGAGAATGCCCCATGCGGCACCGTCTTGTGGCCTGGAGCCGAAACAGGCTCACGCGCCGCTTCGATATGACGAGCGCTCGCGCGAGCTGTTTCTGGTGCACAGTTCTCGGCCAAGGACCTTGCCCCGATTGGCTAGCCCCAGGGCTGCCTCCGAGAGGCAGATTCAAGAGGCCCCAAACCATAAGAGCCCTCGGGTGCATCTTGGGCCCAAAAATTTTGGGTTGAGGATTCCGGTGTCCATGCCGGCAAGATTAGGGTTTTTGAGCATCAGGTTCGAAACGAAAGCCTCGCAGAAAAACACCCTGCAATGCCTCGAATTTGTCTGGAGAAGCTCTTGGGTCTTAGGCTTGAGAGTTTTGAAGTAGAGGGCACTTGGCGGTTTGGGTAGGTTTAGGGTTTAGGGTTTAGGGTTTAGGGTTTAGGGTTTAGGGTTTAGGGTTTAGGGTTTAGGGTTTAGGGTTTAGGGTTTAGGGTTTAGGGTTTAGGGTTTAGGGCTTCGCTCAAGCACGAAATGGCACTTAGTGTGCGTGCTTTTGGACCCTACCATGATCTGTGAGATACGATGTAGCACGTTGGACGTGCTACTTTGCAGCATCTTTGGTTGGCCAGCGAAAAAACTGTAACCTGGAATGGGTGATCCCCCATAACCCCGTAAACCCTGAAAGGTTTCGGGTTGCGAGTTAGGACCTAAGTTCCTTCGACCTCCAAAGAGAAAAACCGCAGTCTCCCAGGCATCCCACCCAATGCTCCATTGGTAGGACCGCTTTTTGAATTGGACACCAAAACGGGTAATTTAGTTTGCATGCCCTCAACACCAAAACCTAAATTCAAAACCCAAAATCCTGGAAACCTAGGACCCAGAGTTGCCCCGTATTCACCTTTTTTTCTAGGGTCGAGGTTGCCTTACAACCCCCTTTAAACCAAAAAAGGGCACCATAGGAACCCTACATGGAACTGGAAGTGGAAATTTCTCTAGGATCCTGATGAATCTGTAGCGAGGGCTTTTTGTCAGCAGGGTGTAGGGTTTAGGGGTTTTGTTGCTGGTTTAGGGTTAGAGTTAGATGCTTGATGTTGACTTCTTTTTGTGTGCTTGTGCGTGTGTATGTTTTCTCCTCTTTTGTTTGTGTTTTTTCGGGGTGAGGGGGGGGGGGGGGGGGGGGGGGGCAGGGTTGGGTTTAAGTAGACTCCCTAAACCCTGAGTCCTGAAGTAGGATTGATCTGCGTACATGGCCCAGCTCATCCCTCTGCCAGTTGTCGCTGAGCTATCCGATGGAAAACGGCGAGATTGAGAACTTTGCAACTTGGGTCAATAAACCCTAAGCCCTAAACCCTAAACCCTGAAGCCTAAACCCTAAACCCTACGCCCTAAACCACACTACATCTTGCCTTGGAAGTTGGTAGACGTTTTCGCCCCTCGAGCAGTTCCATCTGCCCTAACTTTTGGATGCTAGCTAACTATAAAGGAAAAACAAGAAAAACAAGTGCCCTAAGACAAACCGACAAGTAACTACAACAAATTACAAGATAAGGGTTCGAGCCCCGCAAAAAACCCAGAGTAAACCCCCAAACCCTAAACCCTCAACCCTAAACCCTGAACAAAGGGGTTCGAGGGCTTCTGGGCGCGCTCTTAGGATGACATGGAGAAGCTTTGGACTCACATCTTCGAGGACAAGCTGAAAGCCGGGTAGCCAAGAGGGAATCCCCTAAGCCTTAAACCCTGCAGGAGGGTTCCTAAACGGTGTCGGGTTTGGAGGTTTAGGGCTTTAGGGTTTAGGGTTTAGGGTTTAGACCCTAAACCCTAAACTGGCGAGAGCCCTGCTCCCCGCAGACACGGGTGCTCGAGCCCCTGGGATAGGGCTTGGCCCTGGCGCGTGGCGAACCTGCCGGCTGGGGAGCACCCACGCGGTCTCTTTGGCCACGCGGTTTTTTTTTTCGGTCAGCTCAAACACCTCACCATTGACGCCGAGCTGCGATTCCCTAAACCCTAAACCCTAAACCCTAAACCCTAAACCCTAAACCCTAAACCCTAAACCCTAAACCGATTCCTGGACCCGGGGTGCCTCGGGGTCCTGATCTGGTTTGTCGCGACTTGTTCCTTGAAACGTCCTGCAACACTCCGGGAGGACTTGGGACCTGGGACCCCCTCAAGCCCTGGCAAGACCATCAGTTGCAACACCACCGAAAGAAAAAAGAGCATTCTCAAGCAGGGGCCGGTCGAGGCCCATATGCGACGTTCACTTAGAGACCCAAGAAAGCCCCCCCTCCCCGTGGAGTAGAACGCTAACTTAGGGGAGTGCGGCTGCGAAGCTATGCAAGCGCCTGATAGGGAGCGGGCCCCTAAATCGAAAGAAAAGGCGCACAGATTTACGGGGCTGAGGTTTCGGTCCTACAGTTTGGCATTTACAGGGGTTAAGGTTTTGGGACTTGTTGCTTGAGTTTCTTTTTTTTTGAAGAAGGGTCTATAGGATTTAAGACACTTACAGGTTCATGGCTTCGAATTTCGGATTTAAAGTGAACTCATACTGAAGGTTTCGGATTTCAGGTTTAGGGTTTAGGGTTTACCTCGCTTGTGGTTTGAGTTTCGGATGGATTTGTGTAATGCTCATTAATGCTCCAGCACTCAAAAAGGGGAGTGTTTTGGTGCAGGATTTGGGGTCTGCCTAGGATATGAGTTTAGATTCTTGCTTGGGGTTTAGGGTTTAGTATAGGGCGCGAAGAGGTGGAGTTTAGATCTTTTCTTTGGGGGGGAGAGGGGGGGGGGGGTACCGTTTGAATGTCGGAGTGAGTACGTACGCATTGGATGTAGAAGATCTTCAAGCGAGTGCCCTGAACCCCAATTCCCGCACCTGCATAATTCTCAGATCGAGTCGGACAGATGCCCAGTGCTGCTGACCGTGCCTGGGGCTAGCAGCGTCTTAGGAGCAACCTTTTACGTTATTTGCTTGGCAGAGCCCTAAACCAAAAAGGTTTCTAAACCCTAAACCCTACTTGCCGTCAGCTGCCCTAAACCCTAAACCCCAAACCCTAAACCCTAAACCCTAGACCCTAAACCCTAAACCCTAACCCCAAAGTGGACCAGGGGTGTGGTTTGGGGAATCGTCTGGGAGTTGACAACTCCCTCGGTTTTAGGAGGGTGTAGGGTTTAGGGTTTAGGGTGTAGGGTTTAGGGATTAACGGCTCACACTAGACCCTATAGGTTTAGTGTTTAGGGTTTAAGGGACAGTCGAATTTTGCGCGACGGGTTGCCAGTTTGGGGCTCAAGTTTCGGGCTTGGGTTTGGGTCTAGGATGACGGGCAGAGGGTTAAGGTTTTTGGGCTTCAGGCTTGAAGGTTCAGGTGTTTGATAAGCACAGAAAACACAAAAGAGAGAGAGAGAGAGAGAGAAAAAACAGCGGTGCCCTTTTGTGCCCTAGGTTCCAGGGACGTTCTGGGGAGCCTAGGATAGGATCTGAGGTTAAGGGTTTCAGGATTAAGGGGCCCGGACTCGGCGCTTGATATGGGGTTTTTGCGGGGAGTGTCCATTGGCTTACTTCGCGCTAGAACCCGAACCCTAACCCTAAACCCTAAACCCTAAACCCTAAACCCTAAACCCTAAACCCTAACCTGCTCAAAGCACGTGAATAAACGACGCACACACCAGGCGCACGCAAGCAGAGCGTGACAAAAAGGTCCCACCTCCAGCGAGAACCGCCCAGAAGCTTGCACAACCCCATATGGTTGTCAACATTATGGTCCCTCTTTGGATCCCTATTATAATACGGCACCTAATATGTAGCGTACCCTGAAAGGGATCATAATTTTGACAGCCACCCTAATATGGGGGTTTCCGAAAATTGGGGGTACCCTTTATTGAAAGGATTATTTAAAAATTACAGTATTTTGGGGTATAGAAGGAGATCCCCAATCTTCAGGCATCCCATAAACTTCGCATACTTAGTAGCTGCGTAGGTAACCTTTAGCCCTACCATAATTGAAAGGTTAACCTGGGCACTCAGCAACTAGGTTTTAAACCCAAACCCTCGGCAACTGAAACTATCTAGAGGCACCCAACTGCTGCTCGATTTCCTACACCCTTTGCCCTTAGGGTTCAGGGTTTCCGATGTAGGGTTTACGGTTTAGGGTCCTGCGAAAGCTAAGGAGCCACCGTACAACCCAACTGGAAAGCGGGAGAAGATGGTTGAGGCCAGGGGTAATCCGCATCCCCTAAGCCTAAGCTTCAAACCCAACCCCCTCATACGTGCCTTCGATTCGCTTAAGAACCCCCCCCCCCCCCCGAAATACAGAATCTGTTGCCTTGTAAGGGCCATCGCGGGATTATTGTTCGTTATTTTATTGTTTTTTTGTTTTTGGGGCGGGGGGGGCGGGGGGTTCTTAAGCAAATAGTAGCCCTAAACCCTAAACCCTAAACCTGAATAAGCCTTATCAAGGGTTTAGGCTTTAGGGATGTTCCCCCTTTCCTGACAGTCCTTAATGGGGATAATGAAACAATACCGAAACCCTAATCATGCCATCAACGCCATGGCTCACAAAGTGGGAAGAGTCAGAACTATATTCCCCTTGGGGGGTTATTGTTTGTGTTTTTGTTTATATAAAACCCAAGAGGATATCGAAAATATTATGTTTATTAAGGTTCTAGGGGGGGTATAGAGAGCTTGGGTTGTCATGCTCAATACATGTTCATGATCTTTCGCTGCATTCTTGAAAGCTCTTTGGCTTTCTTGCTTGACAAGAACCATGAACCCTACAAACCCTAGCACGCCTGTAAACCTCATAAGCCCTATAAACCCCAAATAAACCCTATAAACCCTGTAAACCCTACAAACCCTATAAACCCCATAAGCCCTAAACCCCATCAACCCTCCTAACCCTGTAAACCCTATAAACCCTATAAATCC